CTGGAGCGATGGCTGGGTGGCTGAGCCATCCTGCTCTCATAGAGCTCCCACATCTGGTGGCTCACAACCACCTGCAACGTGTAACTCCCCACCTCCAGGGACCAAGTGCTCTTCCGGCATCTGAGGGTGCAGACCCACGTGTGCACACACCCATGAGTACAAGCACATAGCCACAAACAAATAAGATTAATCTTTCTAAACACACTATTAATCTAAGATGATTATAAACTCATCAGTACAATAATAAAGGAGTCAAGAACTACGGAACATGGAAGTGTCTGAGGGGCTCAAAGAGAAGATATGATGTCTATATGATTTCAGTGCCAGAAGAAAAGCAAAGAGAGATAATACAGAGAAATTTTTAAGAGCTGGTAATAGCCAGGCAGTGGTGGTGCACGCCTTTAATCCCAGCACTTGGGAGGCAGAGGCAGGCGGATCTCTGAGTCCGAGGCCAGCCTGGTCTACAGAGTGAGTTCCAGGACAGTCAGGGCTACACAGAGAAACCCTGTCTCAAAAAACAAACAAACAAACAAAGAGCTGGTAACAGGGCTGAGGAGGTGACTCTCCTGCCAAGCCTGCTGACCCAAGCTCAATCCTCCCCTCTCCAAAGAAAGAACAGACTCCCTCTAGTGGTCTTCTGACCACTGTAAACCCTGCCACTAGGGAGACGGAAGCAGGAGAACATCAGGTTTAAGGCAGTCTAGGCTATAAATTAAGACCTTGTCTTAAACAAAATGTTAAATTGTGTGAGCATGTTTGCACCCTACTGTGCAACTCTGAAAGTTTTTTGTTAAAAAAAAAAATGTTACAGAGAGGAAGCACAGGGGCCATGGCCTGAGGAGGAGGGGAGAGATCAGAGGTCACCTGCAGGAATCAGTCTTCTTCCTCTGCACAGATTCCAGACACTGAACCCAGGTGATCCAGCTAGGAGCGCCCTTTACCTCTAAGCCATCTCACTGACCCTAAATAATTTATTGATGTTGTGATGGCTTAAATAAACTCTATCTACTGCTAGGCATCATCTTAATACCCACTAGCCATTTGTCTGTGAGTTCAGTCCCTGGAAGATAAGTTCCCAGTAACTCTGACTCAGCAACCCACACCAACAGATGACTGTGACTTTTGTTTTTAATTTAAAAAAAAAAGAAGAAGAAGAACCTTCTAGGGCTGTTGAGATGGCTCAGTGGTTAACAGCCCTGGCTGCTCTTCCAGAAGACCTGAGTTCAATTCCCAGCAACCACATGGTGGCTCACAACCATCTGTGATGGGATCCGATGCCTTCTTCTGGCACATAGTTGTATATGCACATAAAGCACTCATATAAAATAAACAAATCTTTATTAAAAAAAAATTTCGCTCACCCCCTTCACACAGACTTTATGTCTGGCTCAGAGACAGTTGTCCTGCTCTTGGAAATCAATAAACATTTTAATTATAATTGGGTTGAGTCTGTGGTCTTTCCCCAGGGGTCAGAAACTCTGTAACAACATAAGGGCAAAGCTAAGCATAAGATCTGTGACGGACGCTGAGGAGGAACTGCCCAAGTTAAGAGGAGCCCATGGAGGCATTCACAGTGTTACAACCTCTGAGTCAGGCAGAGGCCTGAGAGTTCATATAAAACAAGGGCTGGAACCTGCCCACTGGATTCAACTGGGAGTAGCATGTGATCCTTGGGCCTCCTCTCCTAGGATCTGTGAGGCAGTCCTTCACAAATATTAAACACTGTGTAACCTACACTACTCGTGGCTTTTGTGTGAAGAGACATGGCCCTGGCTTTCAATCACCTTGGTCACGAGGTTACGTCACCCCTCTAGTCGTCCTAAGGATCTCATTGAGGCCCTGTGCCTTCTACTTGTGCACCACAGCCTAGAATGATCTGCAATGTCGTGGCCCACTGTCCCGTACTTACCTGCAACTCAGTGCGCACATCAGGCTAGCGGTTGCTGTGTGCCTTCCTCCTCTGTTCGATCCACTAATCACTAACCGATCACTTGGAAAATCTAAACTCATCTCTCTCCCTCGGTCTCCTTCACCTGCGACCTTCCGTACACCTTTGCCCGTGCTCACCAACCTTCTCTAACACCCATCGCCTGTCAGATGGAAGTTGACATCTGCCTGCAGTTCCAAACCCCTGGGATGTGCTCTGCATCTGCCTTGGCCTAACGCCTGCTGACGGACTGGCGGCGGGGTCGCCTGAGTGTCTGAGCGACAGGGACTTGGCGAGTACCCTCGAGGCGACTCGAGGCTGCGGACCGGGGAAGGGAGGGGACGTCAAAGCTCTCCGAGGCGCTCCTCACCAGTTGTAGGTCGGCCACCGTCCGGTCTGGCACGAGGCTGTACACTTGGCTCCTCAGCGCGATGGGTGGCAGCGCGTCCTCGAACAGCCCCCGGGGGAACAGCTGCACGAGTTCCTCGATGGCCTCGCGCGCCGAGCCTGCGGTGGAGCAAGCCCGGGGTCAGGTCCGGGTGGAGGGCGCGCAGATGCTCTGACGCCTGAGCCCTCAGAGAGCCGCTGCCTGGGTTGCCATGGTTACCCACCCTGGTTCCTCCTCCTCCTCCTCCTCTCCCTCCTCCAAGGGTGAGTACCCTCCGGGCCTCCCGGTTGCCATGGTTACCAGCTCTCGCCCTCAGAGGATCCGCTCTCACGGGCCCCGGCGCCCGCTGCCGCTTCACTCCAAAAGCCTCAGACGCCAGGAGCCGTCTCTTGCGACTCATAGCCCGGATTTCAGGGTTCCGGGAAACGATGCCTGAAGACAGCGTCTTCCGGCGCAGAGTAATGACGACGGGGGCCTCTGACAGGTCGTCTCAGTTTGATGACGAAGCAGCCTCCCTTCCGTCGCCCGCGCCGCTGCTGATTGGCTCCCGTCCGGGGCGCTCACTGGGGCGCGCGGCGGCGCGAGCGGCCGCCTGGGTCCCCGCTCGGGTGTTCGCGTCCTTCTCCGGCTTCTGACGTGCCGCGCTGACGCCGTAGCCTCGAGGAGGTGGAGGTCAGGGTTTGGAGCTTTGAGGTAACCCAGTCTTTGCTTCGGCCCCAGACTCCTTACCGTCGCCGCGTCCGGGTGTCCGTGGGTGGGACGAGGCGCGCGGCTCCTGACCGGGGAGGGGGAGTCGCTACACGCAGAGCCCGAACCTGGAGGCTCGCTCGGTCCTTGTCCACCCGAAGACGGAAACGCTTTCCTCTCAGGGCCTCATGGAGCCCAGAGGGACCAAGAGGAAAGCGGAGAAGGCAGAGGTGGCCAAACCCTGGAACAAGCTGCCCCGGTCACTGCCCTCACTGCGCACGGAGCCCTCTCTGTACTCGGGACCCTTCCCTTTCTACCGGCGCCCTTCCGAGCTGGGCTACTTCTCCCTGGACGCACAGCGCCAGTACCACGGAGATGCCCGAGCCCTCCGCTACTACAGCCCACCCCCCATCAACGGCCCGGGCCCGGACTTTGACCTCAGAGACGGATACCCTGAGCGATACCAGCCCCGGGACGAGGAGGTCCAGGAGAGGTTGGACCATTTGCTACGCTGGGTCCTAGAACACCGAAACCAGCTGGAGGGGTGAGCGAGGCGCGGCGCAGAAGCTGATCTGGTGACCTGTTTTTCTCTTCTGAAGTTGGGGAAGCCAAATGGTCTTTAGTGGGGACTTGGAGTCAACAGAGCTCCAGTCAGTCCGTAAACCCCGAGTTCTTCCCTCTCAGGGGTCCAGGCTGGCTGGCGGGGGCTACAGTGACATGGCGAGGGCACCTGACAAAATTGCTGACCACACCGTATGAGCGGCAGGAGGGCTGGCAGCTGGCAGCCTCTCGGTTCCAAGGGACCCTGTACCTAAGTGAGGTGGAGACCCCGGCTGCTCGGGCCCAGAGGCTTGCAAGGCCACCCCTCCTCCGGGAGCTCATGTACATGGGCTACAAATTTGAGCAGTACATGTGCGCAGGTGAGAGTCGTCGCTGCCGTGCGGCCCCTCTCCCCTTCCGCAGAGGTCGAGAGCCCTTTCCCCTGCTGCTGGCTTCTCTTCTTGTGCAGACAAACCTGGAGGCTCCCCAGACCCCTCTGGGGAAGTGAACACCAATGTGGCCTTCTGCTCTGTGCTACGCAGCCGCCTGGGGAACTACCCTCTCCTGTTCTCCGGAGAGGTAGACTGCCTAAACCCCCAGGCCCCTTGCACACAGCCTCCCTCCTGCTACGTGGAGCTCAAGACGTCCAAGGAGATGCACAGCCCTGGCCAGTGGAGGAGCTTCTACAGGTTCCGGCCGGGGTGGACAGGAGGAGTCTGGGGGGTAGATGCTGCCGGGAGGGGGAGGGAGGGGGTCCTGGTGACCCTTTTGCCTCTCCTGTCAGACACAAGCTGCTGAAATGGTGGGCTCAGTCGTTCCTCCCAGGGGTCCCACATGTTGTTGCTGGCTTCCAGAACCCAGAAGGTTTCGTCTGTTCCTTAAAGACCTTTCCTACCATGGAGATGTTTGAAAACATCAGGGTAAGGCAGGGTGTCAGAGTGGCCGTTTCCCCACGCCCTGTGCCAAGTCCTCAGATCCAGTGCCCCTTTGCCAACTGCCTTCTCCTCCCACTCCCGTCTTCTGCCTCCTGTGCCCCCTCCAGAATGACCGAGAAGGCTGGAACCCCTCTGTGTGCATGAACTTCTGTGCTGCCTTCCTTAGCTTTGCCCAGAGCATAGTAGTCCAGGAGGATCCCAGGTAAGCCTTTGTGTTTGTGCACCGCTCTGGATCCCAGCACAGTCTCGGGCTTCACCCCACACCTCCATCTTCCCTCAGGCTTGTCCACCTCTTCTCCTGGGAACCTGGTGGTCCTGTCACTGTGTCTGTCCATCGGGACGCACCCTATGCCTTCCTGCCCTCATGGTATGTGGAAGCTATGACCCAAGACCTCCCATCACTCTCAAAAACTCCCTCCCCCAAGGACTGAGGACACAGGAGTCTGGGCTCCGTGCAGATAATAAAGGCGTGTTTCTAAGCGGGTCTGTTGATCATCTGAATGGAGTCACCTCTGCTCCAAGCTACCATACACCAAGCACTCTGGTTTGCTCTTTATTTTTGTTTAATGTTTGTGGTTTCTTTATGTCATCCTGGCTGTCCTGGCACTGTAGAGCAGGCTGGCCTTGATCTCAGAGAGATTTCTCTTCCTTTTCACTCACTGTCACACTCTTATCCACACATCCTTTACTGGGTGTAGAGGCTGGCTGCGAAGACGATGTCCCGCCTTAGCAAGGTGGCTGCCGTCTCCATCTTGGCACCCAACACAGGCTCTCCTACCAAACGGGCCGCTCCTCGAAGCGAGCGACACATCTCAGCCAGTCGCTGGATGCAGCGGACGACCAAGCCTTCAGGGGTCCCCGAGAGCCCTGCCAGCTCAGAGAAGGGCTGCAGGAAGAGCAGAGTGGAGACTAAATGTGTCAGGTCTGGTGACCTCCCCCAGCCACCTGCAAACCCAGCACTCACCATGCCACGAGCCCACTCATAGACAACCTCGACCAGCCCGAAATTCAGCTCTCCCACAAACTCTTCCACTGTCTGGTTCAGGCCACAGGCCACCTGAACCTCACCAATCCGCTTGGCCACAGCTTTGACACGTTCTACTCCCTGCAGAGGAGGAAGGAAGGGCAAGACCTCCAGCTTCAGGACCAGGGAGGCCATGCACACTGGGAGGCACTTACCACGGGACTGAGAAGAGAATGGAGGGGTAGGGAGTGGTAGTGCACAATCCAAGAGAAGGGCAATGGCCCCTACCTGTTTGAGGGTGCTTGGGAGCTGGTCCCCAGGGTCCCCGGGGCTCTGGCACACCAGGCCCGAGAGTAGAGCTGCGATCTCCTCCGGTCGCAGAGCGCTCAGTGCATTGTCAAACATGAGTTCTGTGAGGAGCAGCTCATGGCTGCTCATGGCGCAGGCCACTCGGCCTGCCAGCTTCACGGTGCCAGCCTCGTCCACATAGCCCAGGGTCCGGAGCACCTTCGAGAAAGGGGGAGGGTTGGGGAGCCTGCTGTCCCCCTGAGTGTTCCTCACCTCATACCCCCATCCTGCCCTTTACCTCTACACGCTGGTGGTACTCGGGGAGCAGCAGCAGTGACTGGTCGGACAGGAGGAAGCGCAGCCTCTCCATTTCCTTCTGAATCTGCATTCGCTCCCGAAGCTTCACGTACTAAGAAAAGACACAGTAGGGACCGTTAGCCCCCTCACCCTTAGCCAGAGTGACCACTAGCCCCCACCCTCAGCAAGAGTGACAGGGTTGAGGAGGAGGAGCTGCCTCTGCTTAGGAGCTACCTGGGCAGGAAACCGGGGGCTGTGCACACACTGAGCCCCGCGGATCAGCTCCTCCAGCTTCCGGGCCCGCAGCCCGCCTTCTACTACCCCTACATCCTTGAGTTGCAGGTCATTGATGGGGTCAAGGGTTGGGGGTCCGGCTGGATAGGCCTGAGCCAGACGCAGCAGCTCCTGAACAGCAGTGGTCACAGCCGAGAGCGGAGGGTCCTTCCTGAAGGAGAACAGATTTTGTGATCTGAGCCAGCAGCTTTACCACAGGAGCCTCACCTCAGGCTGAGGAAGCCCCTCCAACACCCCATTTCATGGTCCCTTTTTACAAACTCAGGGTACATTCCCTTCCCTGGGAAAAGTCTCCCTTAAGTCTCTGACCTGAACTTCGGTTGCTGCCTCCTGCTGAAGTCCTCAGAGATCTTCTCCCCGTTCACCCGGAGCACTTTGGTGGAGATAGCAGCCACGTCTCCTGGCTGGAGCTTGGCCACTGTGTGCTCACAGGGCCCTGGAAAGCGACTCAGGTCAGGCTTCGCCACGGCTCGGACGTCTTGTTCACACAAGAAGCCAGGCACTGCCGGCTCTCTCCTCACCTTCCGGCAGGAACAGCTTGAAGCCCACAAGGTCATCTGGGTGGGGCACATCTGGAGTGGCTGGCCCCTTGTCCCTTGGGCTCTCAGATACAACAGGCTTATCACACAAGACCAATGTTGTAAATACCCTGCTGGTAGAGTTTGAGGAGACCTACAGGAGGCAGGAAGTCCAGGACAGGCTTTGAGACCACACAGAGCCCTTGGGCTGTGGAGGGGTAGCCATGCCAAGCAACTAGAGCAGCTTGGGGGCCAGGCACAGGGGCAAAGTAAAACGAGCACACTAGAGTCCTACCATGCCTGAGCCGATGGAGAGGCGTGCCAGGCCTCCCTCGCGTCCTCACCTGCAGGATCACGCCCAGCGCATTGTGATGCTCCTCATTCTTGACAACCACCACCCTTCCCACCGACAGAGACTTCAGCCCGTTCACAGACTCCATGATGCGGCGCTGCAGAACACGACACTCGGACTAAGTTTAGGCGCACCAGTGTGACCCGCTGTCCCCTCTTCCGTAGCCACATCCCCACTCACTCACCTGGATCATGCTCCGGGTCTCTGTCAGCTCCTCTGCCCAGCTGTAATAGTCAGGCAGGTCAGCCAACTGGCCGGTCACATCAGGCTCCTCCAAAGCCCCCAGCCTCTTGGTGAGGTCAGCCAGAGCCTGCTCATGGGCCTGAGGAGAAGCAGAAGTTTTGACAAGTCTGCCACCCTGGCCTCTACATCCGCCACCCCCCCACCAGCCTCTGCATGCCTACCTCGTGTCACCAGCTCACTGTCCCAGCCTGTCCCCAGCCCGCCCATCTCACCAGCTCGCTGTCCCAGCCTGCCCGTCTCACCAGCTCGCCGTGCTGCCCACCCTAGCCTCACCTTGCTGTCCTTGCGGGATGGGAACTCTGAGAAGCTCCTCTTCATCATGTCTTCCACTCTGAGGGCGTCCACCCGCAGCAGGTTGAGGATCATGGTGTATGTGAGGCGGAACTGGGACTGAAGCTGGGATGGCTTCCCCTGGAGACACACCAGAAGGTCAGACCAAGTGAGAGACCTGTGCTCCCAGCCTGTCCTGTGCTCCCCAGCCTGTCTTCTGTGCTCCCCAGCCTGTCCTCTGTGCTCCTCAGCCTGTCCTCCGTGCTCCCCAGCCTGTCCTCCATACTCCCCAGCCTGTCCTCTATGCTCCTCAGCCTGTCCTCTGTGTTCCCCAGCCTGTCCTCTGTGCTCCCCAGCCTGTCCTCTGTGCTCCTCAGCCTGTCCTCTGTGCTCCCCAGCCTGTCCTCTGTGCTCCCCAACCTGTCCTCTGGTCCCAGCTCTGCAGCCATGGGGCCTCAGCCAATAATACCCTGCTCACCTCCTCAATGACTAAGGGAACAAGATGAAATACATGGACTCTTAAGGTCCTCATCAGGCACCGTACCCACAGTGGCAATAAAAAAGAGGAGCTGGACTTGGACTTGCTCAATTTTTTGTTTTTGTTTTTCGAGACAGGGTTTCTCTGTGTAGCCCTGGCTGTCCTGGAACTCGCCCTGTAGACCAGGCTGGCCTCGAACTCATAGATCTGCCCGCCTCTGCCTCCCAAGTGCTGAGACTAACGGCGTGCGCCACCGCCGCCCGCTGGACTTGCTCACTTTTCACCTAACTTCTCCCGGGCGAAATGAAAGCCTCAGAAGGGAGAGACAGACAGCTGGGCTGAAGGACTTGGAGCTGTGGCCGGGAGGCTCGGCCAGTCCCACACCACGCCCTCTCACCATCATCATGCGGTGTAAATCCGCCATCTCAGGCACTCGGCCCTTACAGAGAAGGATGACGGTGCCCGTAGGGTCCAGGCCCCTCCGGCCTGCCCGGCCTGCCATCTGCACGTACTCCCCAGGCAGCAGGTCCCGGAAGGTAGAGCCATCATGTTTGCGCATGGAGTCAAACACCACTGTCCTCGCTGGCATGTTTACCCCCATGGCAAAAGTCTCAGTGGCAAACAAGACCTGGGACAGAGGGAAAGCTGGATGAGCAGACGGCTTCTGAGGCCCAGCGCTGGCAGTGCTCACACGACTGCGGCTGTGGGTCCTTCTTTCTTCCACCCTTTCAACCCCTTAAAACTAGATGAGAAAGAAGAAAGGATAGAGGGGAAAGGGAAGAGATCCCTGAATAAGCCAGGGGTTGGCTGTAAAGGGGGCGACATTATCATCACACTACTTCGTGATAATTAGAGGCACTGAGCTCCTAGGGGCAAGTTTGATCTTCACTGTCAGAATATCTAATTTCTTCATGCTGCTGCTTTATGCACGACTACTTAACAAACTACAACCAACAGTCCACCACCTCTCTCAGGGCTCTAGCATTTAACTACCCTCTGAAAAGTCCCTAGAATTCCAAACGTCACACAGTCGCAGGAACTATCTGCAGCTGGCAAAACCACGCCCCGGTAGAGCACGAGGCAAATCATAGTCAGCCGCTGTGGACAATCTGAAGCAGTCCCGTATCCCACATCTGGAATTAAAACACTAACATATCCTTATATTTCTGTGTTTTTTTAAAGAAACCAAAATTCCAAAATTGTCAGTACACGCCACTTTGGAGCCTGGTCTCAGATGTGTCTGCAGGACCGCGCTGACCCTCCAGGAAGACCGGCAGTGCAGCCCTTATCATTTCTGTCCTTCTGTTCCCAATCACTGATTCTGAGAGAGGCAGGTGCTGTGTCTCTGTAAGGGACACCCCTACATTTACCTAGCCAACGTCCCAGTGAAGGGCACCCTGCTTCTCAGCCAGCCTTTCATCCCAGGAGCAGAGGCTTGAGGTCTGAAACCCGTTATCATAAACAGCACCGTAGAGAACAAGGCAAATGCATCTGTTGTTCCCTCAGAAAGGTAGAATTTCTTTGTGTACTATACTTAATTTGCTTAAACAGTGCCAAGGCAGAAAGACAACAACAGTACTCGGATGCCAAACAATGGCGAACTGGCAACAGCTCACATCTGGTCACAGATGCGGTTAAATGCAGCCATCCTGACCACTGTACAGCCATTTACTGACAACATTTCAGTTTGCATCTCTCTAACTCTTAGTGACTCTTCTATGCTCGCCAGCTGTGGAGCTTTCTCTTCTCAAGCCCAGAGTTATGTTGTATTATATATGTCCCTGTTTAAGATTAAGGTGAGAAACCTAGAGTCCAGCAGGGTTATGGAGCTGAGATTTGAACCCAGGTTACCTGGATCCAGAACCCAGGTTCTTAACCACTGCACTGTCCTGCCTAAATCCTGACCCTTCTACTCGGGACCTCTTGCCCATTCTGCTCACCTTGACCAGGCCCCGGCTAAAAAGCATCTCCACAATCTCCTTAAGGATAGGCAGGATGCCGCTGTGGTGCACACCCAGGCCTCGACGAAGAAGCTCTGACATGTGCAGGACCTGCAGGACGAGGAGGGAGAAGAGGGCAGTGGTCAGAGAAGATGTAGAAGGAACCCCCTCAACAGGAGGGGCAGGCCTCAGATCACCACAGCCCTACCTGTGTCTACAGACACAGACCTGGGGTAGCTGCCGGTCAGAGCCTCGGAGCCGAGCGAGGCAGCGCTGCAGGAAGAGGTGGATCTCGCTCTTCTCTGAGCTTGTTGTGAGGTCCAGAGAGGTGAGGCCCGAAGCCTGCTCATCACAGCGGCCTCGGGAGAAGGTGAACACCACCACTGGCAACTGAGCCCGGGTCCGGAGGGAAGCCAGCAAGGACAGGTACACCCCACGGTCCTGAGGGAGGAAGGGAGGGGACAGAACTTACGTGGACGTGGTCAAGCCATGTTCAAGTCAGGTTTACCTGGAGCAGGACACGGACCTCAAGTCCACTCCCTCCCCGCAGGGACCAGGGCTGAACGAGGGGGATGGGATGCGGGCTTCGGCAGACTGGGTGCTCCCGGGCTTACCTGTGCAGGCCCGCCCTGGTGCGTGGGCTGCTTGGCCCCGAAGGTCTGCGCATGCCTGCTCGTCCTCTCTTTCTTGGCCTCCACCGCAGCGTAGTACCTGAGCACAGGGTGGGCGGCGTGAGACCCGCACAGACCCAGCCACTACTCCCAGCCCTGAACTTACCCCTTGGTGTGGAAGGCCCCTCGGGAGTCCAGCAGCAGGAAGAGCTCGCCCTGTGTCTTGGGGCTGTTTCCTGTGAAGAGATAGTGCTCCAGGGGGACCGGACGGGCAACCGTGCTGATGACATAGATCTGCCGCCGCTTCAGCCGTCTGGAGGGAGGAGAGGGCAGCCTCTGCTTCACCTCCACTTCTGCTCACACTGGTCCAAGCCGGCCTCTGCCCTGCCCCTCCCTCACTCAGGACCATCAGTGTGCCTGTCCTTGCCCACAAGGACGGCTCCCACCATCCCATCTCAGCCTGCAAAAAATGTTCTGGGCCCCAAGGGGACCCGGCAGCCATCTAGGCGAGGCTGTTTCCTGGCTCCATACCCTGATCCCTCTCCTCACTGAGTTCCTCAACCCAAGAGAGGAACACCACAGTCCTCGGCACTCAAGCACCCAGGATACAGGTCTCACCCAATCCAGTCAGCAAACTCCAGGGCGTTGGGGACGGTGGCACTCAGAAGGATGATGGAGACGTGCTCCGGAAGCATGATGAGTACCTCCTCCCAGACCACGCCACGCTGCACACATGGGGGGGGCGGGTCAGTGGGGGCAGAGTCTAAGACAGTAAGGCAAGGCCCACGGAAGACCCCGCGTTCACCAGCGCTCACCTCAGCGTCGTTGATATAGTGGACTTCGTCAAAGATGACCCACTCCAGGTCTCGGATGACGTCTGAGCCACTGTACAGCATGGAGCTGAGGAGAGGAAGCTCAGACTGACCCCCGGCAGCTCTGTCTCCATCCTGCTTCCGCAAGGAGGCTCACTCCCTACCCAAAGCACCCCCGGGAGGCAGACCCCTCTCTCACCGAAGGATCTCCGTGGTCATGATGAGGCAAGAGGCCTCTGGATGCAGCTGCACGTCGCCCGTGAGCAGCCCCACGTCCCCGAATGTGTTTCGGAAGTCCCGAAACTTCTGGTTGCTCAGGGCTTTGATAGGAGAAGTGTAGATGGTACTGGGGATGGGGTGTGAAGTCAGGCAGTCTTTCCTCACAGACTCACGGGTGGGGCACCCCGTCTTCCACTTGGAGTCCTCCCAAGGCTCATGACCTGTACGCTAAAGACCCTCCAATCCTCCTTCATGACACCACCCTTTCCTAAATTAGCCCAGGTCTCTCTCTGCCCCTCTTCTCTGCCAGAACTTTTCATGTCTCTCTGAACCCCCATCTCAGCCTCTCTCCTGAACCTCACATCTACAGGGTAAGGCAGGGGGTGGGGGGAGGAGAGGCGAAGTCCAGGAAGGATGCAGGAGGAAGGCGGGCAGGCTGGGGAGGCATGTGTACCGGGTCATGTGTTTCTGGGCCAGGGCAATGGCGTATTCAGCCACCACTGTCTTCCCAGCAGATGTGTGAGCTGCGACAAACACAGAGTCGTGCTGCTCCAAGTGCAGGATGGCCTGCTTCTGAAACACATCTGGCTCAAACGCCCACTGTGTGAGAGAGATGACAGCGCTGCAGGGAGAGCCTCTCTGCCTCCATGTAGGCATGCAGAGCAAAGAGGAAGAGGCCAGTGTAGGGCTGGGACTGAGACACAAGACGGGCCCGGAAGGTATGTGGCCTCTAGCGAAGAGAGAGGACAAGGCTGGGCTGAGCTAAGGGGCATGGCCAGGTCCACCCAGAGGTGCAGTGAGGCCTGAGCACAGTACCTGGAAGGCTGGCTGAGGGATGAGACGGTAAAAATCACCCACGGGCGAGGTGACGTCCACAGGTACCGCCCACTGTTCCTGAGGTGGAGGTTTGGGAGGCTCCAGGGTGGGCACAACTGTGGAAACTTCCTGGAGAAGTCAGGTAGGGGGGATACAGGTAGAGCCAGAGAGCTCTTGCCTGCCACTCACGCCCCAGAGGTGTCTCCCTGTCACTCTCAAACCCAACCGGGACCTCAGAGCCCCTTCTTACTTGTCCCCACCACCGGTAACTACCAACCTTCAACACTAGATCCTCCAAGCTGCTTGCTCGGACCAGGGGAGTACTGGAGGGGGAGGCTGAGGCAGCGTCCCCTTTGGGGCCTCCTGCTGCCTCTCCCTCATCCTCGTCACCTCCTCTTAGATCTAGAGGCTCCAGCAGACGGCTGAGGCTGAGCAAGCCTGGCACGGGAGCTGGGTGATCTGAGGAACAACAGCCACCCTGTCACCTTCCCACATCTGCAGGAGCAGAGCACCCCTACAAACCCTTCTCCAGCTCACCTTTGGGGGCAAAATCCACCCCTTTCTTGAAGCCAGGTGGGACAGTGAGAAGATCTGAAGGATGAGAACAGAGAGACGGCATCGGCCACTGCAGCCGCAGCCACCGCTGCCCAGCTGTCTTGGAAACTGTGCATCACATGACACAGACATTCACGGTACTCTGCTTGTGTCCACGGCAGCTGTGGCCTTTTTTTTGTTTTGTTTTTGTTTTGTTTGTTTTTTTCGAGACAAGGTTTCTCTGTGTAGTCCTGGCTGTCCTGGAACTCACTCTGTAGACCAGGCTGGCCTTGAACTCAGAAATCCACCTGCCTCTGCCTCCCAAGTGCTGGGATTAAAGGCGTGCGCCACCACTGCCCGGCTCCTTTTTTTTTTTTTTTTAAAGATTTATTTATTTATTTATTTATTTATTTATTTATTTATTTCATGTATAGGAGTACCCTTTCACTCTCTTCAGACACACCAGAAGAGGGCATCAAATCCCCATTACAGATGGTTGTGAGCCACCATGTGATTGCTGGGAATTGAACTCAGGACCTCTGGAAGAGCAGCCAGTGCTCTTAACCTCTGAGCCATCTCTCCAGTCCAGTGTGGCCATTTTTTTTTTTTTTTAAAGAGCTACTAGGGAGGACACCTTTTTCCTTGGGATTAAGAAGGACCCTTCCCCTGATTTGTAAAAGTACAGGAAGCCTCCTCAAACACACAAAGCCTAGCAGCAACCTGCTGGCCTCTCCTCAGACACAGGAAACCTAGCAGCAACCTGTGGGGGGATTTCACCTTTCTCAAAGTCTATCTCCTCCTCGGCTTCCTCCTGAGTACTCAGATCGGTTATGCTGGGCTCGTCCATCCCACCTGGGGAGATATGAGACCTCATTATGAGCAGGGACCCATTCCTTAGACACGAGGGTTCTCCCTTATGCCACCATCAAAGATGACTTACCTGGCCAGAAAGGGTACTGTGTGGGATTGCCCCATAGCGACTGTGAGGCTGGCCCTGGAGGCCGGTGAAGGGACAAGGAGGTTGTGGCCGACAGGTTCGTGTTCTCCAGCAGGACCTGAGGCAAGAGGTTGGACAACCAGTGAGACCAAGCCTGCCTGTGACCCTTTCTCCCGATTCCTTTTCTTGCAGTCTCTGACCTCTTACCTCCTTATAGCCTAGTATATGGCCTGTGGTTGGGTGTCGCTGGGCCTGAAGGTCGGATGGGACTGGAGTCCCCAGAGCAGCCAGGAGCGACCAGGGATCTGTCTTCCTCTGCCATTTTCTGGAAAGACAGAAAGGAATTGTGGAGTCAGCTTTCTCCCTATCCCTGCTTCCTCCCATTGGTCCATCTCCCCAGTCTGGGAGCTGCAGACTTCTCACCGAGCTGAGTGTTCTACACCATGTAGAGGAAGCCAGGCCGGAGACGACAGAAACAACTGCTCTGCTTCCTGGCACAGATCTGGGGCACACGGAGGGAGGCCATGGGGAAGCTGGGACAAGGGCGAGATAGGAAGCATTAAGTTGGGGGCTGGAGAGATGGCTCAGTGGTTAAGAGCACTGACTGCTCTTCCAGAGGTCCTGAGTTCAATTCCCAGTAACCACATGGTGGCTCACAACTATCTGTCATGGGATCTAATGCCCTCTTCTGGTGTGTCTGAAGACAGCTACCACTTACTCATATATAAAATAAGTAAATAAATTTTTAAAAAAGCCTTAAGTTAGTAAAGGATTTGTGCTTAGATCCGATGGTAGATGTCCCCAGGATAGCAAGGTAAATTATGGATTTCAGACACACAGAGGCCAGACACAGCATTCTTATTTTGAAATAGGATCTCATGAAACCCAGGTTCCAACGTGATATATGTATGTATGTATGTATATATATATATATATGCTCAGCTGAGAATTTGCATTTTAGAGTTCTTATTTTTGTAGCAGTGTGTGTTAGTACGAATAGGTATGTGTGTAATATGTGGCTATGGAGACACACATGCACACGTGGCAGTCAGAAGACAGTACTGTGGAGTTGGTTCTCTCTCTACCTTTACGTGTGTTTCATGGGCAAGCACTTTAATCGGCTAAGCCAGTGGTTCTCAACCTTCCTAATGCTGTCACCGTTTAACGCACCAGTTCTTTGTGTTGTGGTGACCCCAACCGTAAGATAATTTCATCGTCACTAATTATTAACTGTAATTTTATTACTGTTATGACTCTTAATATAAATGTCTGGTGTGCAGGATATCTGATATGTGACCCCTGTGAAAGGGTCATTCCACCCCCAAATGGGTGGTATATCACAGGTTGAGAATCTCTGGGCTAAGTCTCCCTGCCGATCTTCTGCTTCTTCTCTTTGTGTTTTTGGAGATGAGGTGTCACTACGTAGCCCTGGCTGGCCTGGAACTTGGTATGTCGATCAAACTGGCCTCCAATTCAACAGATCTGCCTGCCTCTGCCTCCCAAGTGCTGGGATTAAGGGTGTGAGCCACGTCCAGCTTCTAAAAAAAAAAAAAAAAAAAAGGCCAAGTGCTCTGAGGTATGTAGACAGAAGGGACCTCCAAGGAGGAAAAAGATACAGCTGAAGGGGCAGCTCTGAGAGCTGGTGTCTCCAGCACTCTCCGCTCTGACCTACGGGAGTTCCAATAGGGCGGGATCTGTCCAGCATGAGCCGGGGGCCATGGTGACAGTGTCCAGGTGTCAAGCTACATCCTCCTGTGAGCAGGGCGGGATTTCTTTTAGGCTCACAGGTCAAAGGTGAGAGTCAAAAGTCACTCACGGTGCTCTCCGGAGGCCCTGGCACGCTCAGCAGCTCCCAATGGCCAGTGCAGCCCACTTCCAGAGCTCGAAGGGGCAGGTTCAGGGGATCTGGGGGAGGCAGAACTACGGAGGAAAGGACACAGGTTCAAAGCCAAAAGTCACTCCCGACAACTATTCCGTTCCGCGCCCCTCCCCTCCCCTCCCCCTCACCGAGTCGCTCGGTCTCCATCATCCTGGAGCCGCGGCAGCTGCCGAGCAGCCCGGAAACTCAGAGTAACTTCGGAGTCGGCCCCGCCCCGGGAAGGGCGGAAGTTGAGATGACTTCCGACACGCCCCCCTCCTCCACCACTCCCCGCCGGGAGCGTGGGCGAGCGCGGCTCAGAAGCCGGACTCGAGCCGGGCAAGGCCGGGCGGAAGTCGCTGCGCCCCGCCGCCTTGGTTACCGCGTGTCCCGCCCCTTTACGTCATCGCCGCGAGCCCGCGCGCAGCAGTCCGCGCGGCGGCGCCGGAGACCGCGGGCCCGGGCGCCGCCCCCTCAGGTGAGGGCTTCGTCTCACATCCTTCGCGCCTTCCCCGCGCGGCCCCTGGTTCTTCTTCCTCCTCCTCTGGTTGCCCAGATAGCGCTGCGCGGGCCCGGCCGCCTTCTCTGCCCACCGGACCCCGAGGTTGGCTGACCTAACCCCACTGGGCATGGGGGTCGGGAGCCATCGCCTTGGCGTCGCAGGGAGTGCTTTCCCTTCTCCGGGCTGAGGTACCCCAAGGCTCTAGTGTCTGGACCTTGGACATAGGCGGGAATGCCGGTTGATTACAATGAACAGGAGGCTGGACAAGCAGCCTCGCAGAAACAAGGGGTTAGGAAAAGGCCAGAGGCTGGAGTAGGCGGGCCTGGAGGTTGGGGTGCATACATACAGGATGGACGCAAGTTGGACGACGAGTGAATTTTGAATGGTGACAGTAGAAAATGATGTCTTGGGTTCTGCCCTTGAACCAGGAGCCAACATGTTGGTGATACCTCCGGGGCTGAGTGAAGAGGAAGAGGCACTGCAGAAGAAATTCAACAAACTTAAGAAAAAGGTATGGAGCTGAGCATGGTGGCCTAGCTTTTCCAGACTCTGAGGACACCTCGGGTGAATCTGAGGCAGAGGGGGAGTTCTCCTGCCTCATACTCAAAGCGGACCTCTCAGTGGAGTCCAGTCTTGCTTTGAACCGTCCCTCTTTTCTGGTCATTCCCCCGTGGAATTATCTTTCCTGTGGCTTTAGTACCACCCAAGAGCTGGAGGGTGTTACATTTGGATCCCCAGTTCCATCCAGAGCCTTGTGAGCCACCAGATGCCCAAGTTAATGCCGTCTTCCTGTCTGCTCTGCCTCTCTTTCTTTGCTTGTAGATAGAACACACTACACTTAATAGGCCTTAAAATCTCATCTCTGACACCCTGCTGGACCCCCAGCCTCAGGCAGGGTCTCACACTTAGCCCAGGCTGGATTGAAAATAATGTGGCTTTGGGTAACCTGGAATAGTTCTGCCTTACCTCTGGCTTCTATACTATTTACACAGCAAAACAGTTGTCAAGTCCTACAGTGGTTTCTTCCTTCCTCTCTTCCTCTCTCTTACACTTTGTCCCCGCCCCCCCCCCCCAGCTGGATCTCAGTATGTGGCTGAGTTAGGTGTTTCTCGGGGAGGGGGTGTGTGTTTTGTTTTGTTTTTCAACTCCTGGGCTCCTGTGATCTTCCTCCCTCAACTTCTCTCAGGAAGTGGAACTAAAGGTACACGCCATCCTGTGCACCCTCCTTCCTAGTGAAACCTCCGAGTAATTTCTAGTTTACTCCTGCTTACACACCCCTCGGAACATGGTTTTACTTTGCTGTTTAAAAGGGCTCGCTTGATCCACTGAAAACACTTCAGAGGGTTCACATCCGTGTATAGAACAGAACTCTGAAATATCAGCTCAGCATATCTGTCAAAAGAGACAACTGTTTTCTCTTAGAACATGCCTTCCCAAGAGCTCCTCTGCATTTTTACCACCCTGATTTCTTTGTCTAACGTATCTTTTCTGTCTATGTTGGGAAATTCTGTCAGGCCTCAGTTTAGTGACCACTTGAGCCTCTGAAGGTGTTGCTTGTGTTTAGGCATGAGCGATTTGTGCCTTTGATTATTCTTGGTTGTTGGTCTAGCTGTTGTTTCCTGGATTCTGAGTTTCTTAAGGGTGGGAACTATGTGTTTTGATTCTGCGTGGCCTCATTAATATGCAGACGATGGGAGATGGGTGGATAAAATCCCCAAGGATGACATTCAGGGCTTATTGGCAGCTTATATGGTAGACGTTTTTGGTTTTCATATGAGACTGGAAAGCCTTTGGACACCATAGCTTGGTTAGGTTAAATACTGTGGGCTTCATGATGATGTGGACACAGGACGGACCACACCAGGACCAGGATGCCCTGCGCACTGACCCTGGAGTCAGGCATCTAAGAGACCAGTGCCTTGGTTGACAGACTTCTCTTCTCACCAACCTTTCTCCTTTCCAGAAAAAGGCATTGCTGGCTCTGAAGAAGCAAAGCAGCAGTGGTACAGCAAGCCAGGGCGGTGTCAAACGCTGTAAGTGATGGAGACAGAAAGTCCAGAGGGCAGCAGCGCAGGGCCTCCCTCCACAGCCAGCATAATGCCTCTCTCTCCCCTCCCCCTCCCTCTCTTCCCAGCACTGTCAGAGCAGCCTGTGGTGGATACTGCCACAGCAACAGAGCAGGCCAAACAGCTGGTGAAGTCAGGAACCATCAGTGCCATCAAGGCTGAGACTAAGAACTCAGGCTTCAAGCGTTCTCGGACCCTGGAGGGGAAGTTAAAGGTGAGCACACAGGAAGATCGTCCAGGCTGTCCTGGCATCAGCCGGAAGGGGGGGGGGGGGGGGAAGTCATGTGTGTTCACATATGAGCAGGCTCTGCTGTTCTAAGGTTTCGGGTGTTTCTCTATTTTTAGTCTTGTTCCTTGAGACAGGGTCTGACTGTACTCATGAACTCAAGTGATGCTCTGGCCTTAGCCTCAAAAGTAGTGTTTGCCACCACCACAGCCCACGGGAGCACTAGGTTTCTATCTGTTACAGAGAGACCTGGGCGATGCCCTCATCTCTTTTCCACATTTGTGCTTCTTGGATTGAAGGGAGGTTTGAGTAAACCAAGCCACTTACTCAAAAAGCAGCACATCAACCAACATGGTGGCACACGCCTTTAATCCCAGCACTTGGAGCAGGCAGGCCAAGAGCTCTAACATCAAGGCCAGCCTGGTCTACAGAGCAAGTTCAGGATAGCCAGGGCTACACAGAGAAGCCATATCTCAAAAAACCAATCAATCGAAAGGCCAGCCCATCATCATAGGAAGTGTAACAGGAGCAAAAGAGAAGCCAAGAAGAGAGAGGGACGAGTTCTCCTGGTCCACGCTAACATGGGTATCTACCCCTTTCCAGGACCCAGAGAAAGGCCCTGTCCCCACTTTCCAGCCGTTCCAGAGGAGCATGTCTGCTGATGAGGACCTACAGGAGGTACTGGGTTCTGTGGGGCTGGGGTTGGGACCAGTAAGAGACCCACACACTGGACCCACCCTGGCACCTGGGAATCATTTTAATTGTCTATCGTTTCTTTCCCCTCAGCCATCCAGACGTCCCCAGAGGAAATCTCTGTATGAAAGGTTAGAGAGGGCACCGTTTGGTGTGGGGTCAGAAGCCAGAGTGACTGGAAAGTTCAGGGCTAGAGTGGGAGGAGCCAGCTGCAGAGGCAGTGTTGACTCCACAGGTCTGGAAGAATGTGGAGCCCTCTTTGGTCCTTACTGTCTGCCTCCCCGCAGTTTTGTGTCTTCTAGCGATCGTCTTCGGGAACTGGGACAAGATGGAGAAGAAGCAGAGGTCCCCGGGGCTGGTGATGGCCCTCCTCGAGGCTTTGACTGGAGCTATGAAGAGCACGGTGGTGCCCACTCCTCAGCCTCCCCTCCCCGAAGCCGCAGCAGGGACCGAAGTCATGACCGGAGCCGAGATAGGGACCGGGACAAAGAGCGAGACAGAGACCAGGATCGAGACAGAGAACGGGACAAAGACAAAGACAGAGACCGGGAGCGAGACAGAGACAAAGACCGGGACCGAGACCGGGAGCGGGACCGAGACCGGGAGGGCCCTTTCCGCAGTGAGTGGTCTTACCCAGGGTTTAGGTGGGCCCTGCTAAGTAGAAGGTGAGGTAGACTCAGTAATGACTGTGGTTCCTAACCCACAGGGTCAGACTCATTCCCCGAACGGAGAGCCCCTCGGAAGGGGAACACGCTGTATGTGTATGGGGAGGACATGACGCCCGCCCTCCTCCGAGGGGCCTTCTCTCCCTTTGGAAACATCATTGACCTCTCCATGGACCCACCCAGAAAGTATGGCTGAGCATCCTGGGAGGAAGCTGCTGGCTCGCCAGTGTGTGGGGACACGGGGTCCACGGAGCCCCCTGACTCTGCTTTCTCTCTCACCCAGCTGTGCCTTTGTCACCTACGAGAAGATGGAGTCTGCAGATCAGGCCGTTGCTGAGGTTGGGACTTCTCAGAGCCTTCCTCCCATCCCTCCTGTCATCCTCCTGCCTCTTCCTTTCAATACCTGCTTCTAGAGGAAACTTTTCTCCTGACTGAGAAAGCCTTCGTCCTCACACTCCTGTTTGCTCTCCTCCCAGGGTGGCAGCACCTGGCTCCGTGTAATGCCCATCCTCTGTCCCCTCCCCTCTTGTCCCACAGCTCAATGGGACCCAGGTGGAATCTGTGCAGCTCAAAGTCAACATAGCCCGAAAACAGCCCATGCTGGACGCTGCTACTGGCAAATCTGTCTGGGGCTCCCTTGGTAAGGATGAGGCTCCTCCTCCCCCTCTCTGCAGCTCAGCCCTCCTGCTCCCTCTACGTCTTTGAGTTGCCTAAAGGGCCACGGTCAGGTTCTTCACACTGGCAGCGATGGAGAGCTGCCAGGACATCTGTCAGGTGGGGGAGGAGAGCAGTGCTGAGAGGTTCCCCCTTTTCAGTGGGGGCACACACTTTCAGTCCCAGCACTTGGGAGAAGGCAGAGGCAGGTGGCGCTCTTGAGTTCAAGGCCAGCCTGGTCTACAGAGCAGAGTTTAGGACAACCAGAGCTACACAGAGAAATCTTGTCTTGAAAAGCCATTAAAAAAAAGAAAAAGTCCCCCAGCAGTGACTGTCACAGACAGGAAAGCAGGAGCCAGGCTGTCCTCTCCGAGCTGGAACACTGTCTGAACTTGGTGTTGTAGGCCTGGACCTCAGGTAAAGACCAGGCCTGGAGATGGAGACTGGTGTTCTGTGCACCTGGAACCGTCAGGGATGGGGATTTCGGAGATCACAGTGACCTGAGGCTGGTTTATAGAATCAAGGACATTAGGAAGCTGGGCCCCACTGTCTGCCGAGCATTCTTCCAGCAGTCCAGGCTTGCTAGGCCCAAGTGGAGTCTGCAGCCAAGGAACCGTGAACTGAGAGGGGTCTGAGCTGAGAGCAGCCCTAGAAGCTCTAGGCTGTGGACCGAGGCTCTGAGAAGGGTAGAAGACCAAAGAGGAGGCCTGCCTCTCAGCCCCACAGGGAGTCCTTGGGCGGGATGAAGAGTGTGAGGAGAGAAAAGCCGAGCACTTGGGTTCCGAGAGGTCCTCACAGTGTTTCTCAGTGTGGACAGCCCATTCTGCCTGAAACAGATTTTTTTGGGGAAGGAGTAAGCAAAAGTCCCTGCAGACAGCAGGAAGGAACCAGAATTGACCAGTATACCAGCAAGGGCACAGAGACATTCTGATCATTTAATTTTCATGATGTTAGCATATCTAAGTGTGTTAACACTCTGGATTTTCTAAGCCACAGTGAGGCTATGGCCACCAGAGGGCAGAGTAAGCCCTGGTAGACCAGGGCCAGGGCTCTGGACCTCAGGTCTAACGCGGCCTCTGCTTCAGACCTTAACTGTCACTTTCCTCCCTCCTTAGCTGTCCAGAACAGCCCTAAGGGTTGCCACCGGGACAAGAGGACCCAGATTGTGTACAGTGACGATCTATAGGAAACCTTGTGGACGGCTTCTAGGACATGAAGCTGGATTCCTTGTGCCTCACATGCCCCCAAGCTGGTCTCAGTAAAATCCTGGGGTAGAAGCTTTCACCTCCGTCAGCCTCTAGTCTGTCAGCACTTGGGATTGGAGTTAAGCCTTTCAAAAGCTGCTGTCAGTGTTGGTGTTGACCAGTGCACGCCCCTGCTCCCTTACCCCAAAAAGATGTGGAACAGACTTTTTATTGTAGCTGCTTTAATTTGTCCTCACCCCCTCCCAGCAGGACGCTCTATAGGAAACCCAGATCCTCATCTTTGAGCTTGTCCTTTAGCCAGGGCAGCACCTGGAAGAGATTGACGTGGAAGTCCCGGGCATACGAGGGGATCTGCCGTGGCCGCCTCAGGCGGTCTTTGCAGACATCCACTACTCCCCAGCTGATGACACCAACCTGTGTAGATAAGGGCATGCCATGGGTCACTTGACACTTCACAATCCCAGAAAGCTTCCACGCTGGCCTAAAGAAGTGCACTGGGAGCCCAGCTCCCTGTCTTCCATGGTACACACACCCAAACCCTTGCCTCTCCCTGACCAGCTAAGAACATAGCTGTCAGGTGAGGTGGGCCCTGTCCTGCCGCCTTTCCCAGCCATGTGCCTCAAGCTTGCTCTCTGTGACCCCCACCCCCCACCCCGGGCGGGTGTTTCCCCAGTGGACTAGAGAAGGGAGCACTCACTTGAATGAAGCGACTTCTCTTGTGAACAATGAGAGGGCCCCCGGAGTCTCCTGTAGAAGAGAGAAGCTGTAGGGAAGGACGCTTGGCCTGTGGGCTTGCAGCATAGCCAGAGAGCTACCTCACCTTTGCATGTGTTGGGGTCGGCATAGGGGTCCACCCCTCCTGTGCAAAGGAACCTGGGGGTGACCACCTCCGAGGCAGCTTTGACCTTCTCATAGCCTTGGGCCTTGGTAGCATCTCTCTCACAACTGGCTTTCTGTGGGCGACAGCGGTGTGGTAAGAAAGCTAGCTTGGGAAGGAGTGAGGCCTGTGTGAGCCTCTCCAGAATCCTCTTCTCACCTTGTCCCCATTCTTGATGTACACCTCCTTCCGAGTCAGCTTCTTCCCTTCCTCAGATACAAACAGAGCTTTGACATCCTTCACAGGGAGCAGCTCTTCCTCTGGAAAAGTTAGAGGGTCATGCTAGCTGAAACCTTACTTCTCACCCAGCAGATGTCCCTTGGGCCCTTAGGTGCTAGGCCTTGAACTGAGCAGTTGGACACTTGCAGCTCCCTCTTGTGACCCCTTTGTCTTGGGAGTCTCACC